GAAGATCATCGAGTTCCAACCCCCCTGCCATAGACAGGGACACTAGTACATAGAGCATATAAGAATTTGCAAAACACAGCCACGCAAACAAACGAAGTAACATTGTAATCGGCAACTATCTAACCAATATGGGAAATGGATACAAGAAATTTGTTATTGCACCCCTTCCGGCCCCACGTTGGGCTCCAAAAAGGACTGTCGTGGTTTGGCCCCAGCCAGTAACAAAGAACCATACAGCCGCTTGCTCAATTCCCCCAGCCGTGGGCAAAATCGGAAGAAAAAGGCAAAAACTCTTGGGTTGAGATAAAGGCAGTTTAACAGAACATCAAAGGGAAGAGAAAACAATAAGAATAACACCGGTAAAGGAACATATGAATGCGATTACACTGCTGCCGTTCACTGACTGGACCCAGACCACCTCCGCCTGCTCCAAGCCACGACTTCCTTCCCCCTCCCCCGGCCAGCTCCCCCCTATATCCTGGGCATGGCTCACATGGGATGGAATACCTGTGTCCCCTGCCTGCTCCTTGGGGAAATTAACTCCATCCCTGCCGGAACCAGGACACCACCGAAAAGGGAAACTCTCTTCCCTGTTCGCAGCACCTCCTTATCTAGGGAGTAGCTTCACACAACTTCATTGTCTGCCAAAACAGTGCTGCAGCTGCTTATTCCTCCCTATTAGTTCTACCACACTTAACCCTTCTTTTGCCTCAGTCCCCACAACTCCCCCTTTTTTGTTTGTTGAACAATTACACAAACACTGTGTTTATTGATTTTTCCACCATTCTCTGCGTACATTTTAAAAGGCATGGTAAAAAGCACGGTTCTGCAAAGTAGCATGTCTAACTGAATCTACACCCATCAATAAGCTAGATAGAGCCAGCGACATGGCATTGCTCTGTTTGGCAAGCCAGCATCCTAATTTATTCAACGTGGCTAAAGCTTGCGAAGCAGCAACTCCTGGTGCAAGTATAGAGGCCGTAATTATCTCCCCTTTACTCCAAAACTCCACATTATCGTTGCATT